AGGCCCCGTGTCCCAAAGATTTCATAACATTCCCAAACAGCGCTGCCGGCTGGGGAGCAAGGGCTCAAACCCAAAAGCCTGTGAAGAACATTTCACATTCAAATCATAACACAGGAGAACCATATTGAGGGCCATAAGAGGCTGCGAAACTGTGGCCCCATGATGATACTGAGAGAAAATTGCACATAAGAAGCAATAGGTGTCATGGCAAGGGAGGGGCCTCCCGGAGGAGATCAGAAGATTCTGAATGGAGGAGAGTGAATACTGGAGGGGGGGGGTTAGCATATGGACTCTGAGACCCCAAGGTATGATGGCCAGTCTTGAAGTGAGGAGAAAGAAAGATTGGCCAGGTTCTGAAGTATGAGGGATGGTTTACAATATGGCTTCATCACGGAATGCTTGCCGAGCACATGCTAACTCCTGGACTCTGTTCCCAGTGTCTTTAAAACAAAGGAAACATTTAAAGAAAGAGAGAAAGAGAGCAAGCTCGCTCTGTTCCTGGGAGTACTGTTTGTACAGAAGAGGTCAGCCTGGTTCTTACTGAGACATTGGCTGAGGGAATCTCTGTGAAGGAAGGACTGACTGTTCACAAGACTGCTTGTTCCAGGGCAAGCCTTTAGAGGGCACTGGGAGACCCTATGGGAAGGGAGAGAAGGGGGGGGCATGGACCAAGCATGAAAAAGTTAGATGACTAGGGGGTCCAGTCAATGAGAACAAGATGGAAGGCAAAAGGTGGGATGAGCCAGAGACACCAGCGTGAGGAAGAACGCATCTTCCCACCTTGGGCTGGGGGTGTTGCCCAGCAGTGAAGTGCTTGTCTGGCATGAGGGAGGTTCTGGGTTCAGTCCCCGGAACTTCGAGAAAACAAGTCGTCCTGTCCGTGAGGAGGAGGATGGGGTAGAGAAGGCGTGTTGGAAGAAGTCAGCATTGGCCTCAACTAACTGCTGCTGTCCAGGCATCTCTTGGGATTCGCCTGGGACATCCAAACCAGCCAGCCCCAAGGCTTTGTGGGTCGGAAGGAGTTAAATATTAACATGGTCTCTATGCTCATTCCTTGTGAAGTCCCATCGGGAGCCAGCCCGTGCCCCAGGGCCTGTGAGCAGAGCTGTATTCGTATCATCTCACATCGGGATGCAGGGCACAGTGCCAAGGTCGGCCACCTGTCCTCACGCATCTCCACTGCTCCCTTTGACAGATCCAGTTCACACACCCTCTCAGGAATACACCTACGAGACAGTCGAGCGTGCTCGCATTCCTGAGGAGCCTGGAGTGGGGGCTCTCTGGGCCCGAGGAAACCCAAGAAGCACGTGGAGAAACAAACGGTGGGGCGGCCGTCTCTCAGGGTCCCCACGGCAGCTCGTGGAGCTGTGTTTGCTCCTTTCCTCATGTTGCAGCACGAGCGGGCTTCGCAGCTGGGATTTATTTTCAGAGCACTTTGGAATTCGACAGACCCGCCTGCCTCCTGCCTCCCAGCTGAACCCTTTTGCCATTTGGTTGATGATAAAGCGAGTGATGGTTTACACTGAGAGGGCTGTAAAAGATGCTGTCTGTGAACGAGACAGACAGGTGTCAAAACCGGAGTAGCAGACAATGCAGTCAGCAGAGCCCCAGTTCGGCTCTGCAAAGTCTCGGGGCTTTCAAATCCAGTGTCCCCTCCAGAGGGAGCTGAAGTCTGTGTGTGCACCTTGCTCGGCGCTGTCCCTCAGCAGCGTTTAGATGGCGACTCTGGTGTCAGTAGAGAGCATGCACCTACAGAGCTGTGCTCCATGTCTGTAGAGAAGGGGCCAAGTCCCAGATTATTACAGGGGTGAGGAGGGCAAGCTAATCAGGCCCAGTTCAGAGTCATATTTGCCACAGGATCCTAATAAGTACCAGAGAGCCAGCTCAGGAAAGCTCAGCTTGCCGCAGGAGTGCAGTCCAGAGAGGTGACTGCCCATGCTGCACATTCTCCTCCTCCTGTCTCCTTCCTCCGTTAGCTCAGCAGGCCCAAACTGGGGAAGGATGTTCCTCAACTCCCTTCTCTCTTTCTAATGAGACGGTCTCACTTAAGTGACCCTAAAGGAGGGGCCTCCCAGGCTGCTTTCTTTGACTGTGTCCTTCCCTAGCGTTTATCTCTGAAAGTCTTTTTTTTTTTTTCTGTCCTACTCCATTGCTTTCCCTTTGGGTCCATCCTCTCTCACACCCCAGTAGTAACGGCCTTTCCTGTACTTAGGTCAGGGAACTGTTAGTGCGGAGTGAGTGTGATCCCCGAGGTAACAAGTGGGTGTCGTGACGTAATTCTTGGAGTTCGTCTAGGAGAGGGGCTGCTCAGGGCCATGAGCCCACTGGGGAGCCGTGAACTCACCAGGTAACCAGGTCCCAGCAGAGCCATGGAGGGTCATGAGATGAGCGGAGACCAGGCTATATACTTTCATACTGGGGTATAGGGTGTGGATTTTGGAGACCATTGGTGGGGAGCATGAGACATTGCCAAGAAAAGGTATGGCAGTTTAAGACTACCATGTTGACTGTCCCTCACTCCGCTTGGTTTCTTTCTCATTGAACCTTGGTTTAGGCTGACAGCCACCAAGGCCCAACAGTCTGTCTCCATCTCCTAATACCCTTGGGATTACAAACATATAGTCAGGCCCAGCTAGTTTACATGGGCACTAAGGTCTGGATTGGAGTTCTCACACTTACACAGCAAGTATTCTCTTCCCCCTGAGCCATCTCTCCAGTCTGTCATGCTCTTCCATGGAAGGTTTGAGCAACTGAGTCGTAGGGACGAAGGCCATGGGGAAAGGGCAGCTTTGGAAGGAGGATGCATTTGTTTGCATCTGTGATGCCAAATAGACCGCTGGACACATTGAAGCATCTAAGAGGGGTCTGGCCGCCTGGTGCTTGTCGAATATGCTGAGAAAGACTCTGTTTGTGATGTAAGAACAGCAGTGGCGTTCTGCAGGGAAGGAAGAGGGAGTACTGAATTCTGAGTCCAACAGAGAAAAACAGAAATGTAGAACCAGAGGAAGAGCGAGGACTCATTGGGTGAGGAATTACTAAGAATAAACACTAAGGGAATTCTTGCTAGGCCCACTCAGCAAGAGTGCTTACTGAATGCAGGCCACAGCGATAAGATGGCAGCAGAGGGTGGAGATTTTGCCCAAAAGTGTTACTCAGCTTCCCACTACCATGATAAAATACCTGGCATAATTGGTGAAGATAAAATGTTTGCTTTGACTCATGGTGTTGGAGGTGCCAGTCAGGGAATGGTAGTTTGGAGCTCTAATGGGGTGCGGATGACAGAGGCAGGGGATATACTGCAGGGCAAACCTGCCTAACTCATCAGCTAGGTCACACAAGGAAGAAGAGATCATGGTCCCCACAGCCTTCAGTGACCTAAGGACCATCCGCTAGGCCCCACCTTTAGAAGGTTCACTGTTTTCATATTCAGTGATGCCATTCAGGGGAACAAGTGTTTAAGACATGGACCTTTGAGGCTACTCATGCAGACTTGTAACACTGATTTACCTCAAGTAATCCTTCCAGAACTGTACCTTCAGGCCAGAAGGGGAAATCCAAAGCTAATCCCATTTTAAGAGAGACTCAGAACCCCTAGAGAGTGCCTTTGACCTCTGGACATGGGCATCATGAGGTCACCAGTATGCAGAAGGGAATATGACAATGTCACTAAGATCTCTCAAGGAAAATGGGAACAAGAAGGTCCAAGGCCCAGCACCAAGAGAGGGTAAGGGCTGGCGAAGAGGAGGCTCCCCCACAAATGGGAAAGTCTTGGTGTTCCAGGGCAAGAATATTATCAGGGTCATGTTGAAGAGAGGGACAAAGAGGAAACAGGCTAAAGCCTATTTTTTAGAATTGGCATGGAGATTTCCCTGTGTCACGGACTAGATGGTATCTATGGAGCTGTAGGGTAACGGCAGGTTGTAAGGGTGCCCCACTGGGAGGAGACCAACTTACAGACCATGATAGAACAATCCACCCACAGCTGAAGAGAGAGAAGGTAGGACCTTCTGGGTCACTGAAGGTTTCTGTTTGCTCTCCTCCATGATGAAAGAGCTGTAACGTTGTTTATATCCCGGAGGCTGTAGAGAGCAGGGAATGGAGACATTGGGACTGGCTGAGTGGGAAGGGCTCAAGGGCTAGAACAGATCCCGTCAGTGTCAGAGACATACGTGGAGACTCCAATAATATGTCTTCCTCTAAAGCCATAGCTCCACCAGCAGAGGACTTGACAGGACTTCCGTGGGAGAAGACACTAGGTCACCGGCATCCAGAGGTGACCTCTAAGAACTTGGCATGAATAAACTGCCCAAGGGGTGTGCGTGCAGGACGACAAGAAAAGATAGAAGAGATGGAGCCCCTAGAGAGAGAAGGGACTCATGAGGAAAGAGCAGAGATGCCAGAAAGGAGTGAAAAGTCCGGGTTGGAAGGGCTGTTTGGTTGTTAAGACAATCTCCTTAGTATCCCTAACTTACCTGGGCACTCACTATATAAACCCAGGCTGCCCTTGAACATTCAAGGTCCGTCCATGCCTCTGCCTTCTGAGTTCTGGCATTAAAGGTGACTTCCCCCATGCCTAGCTTGGTGGGGTTTTGTTTTGTTTTCTTTTTTAAGAGAGCCATGTATGGTTTGCAGAGTTCAGCAAAGCAGCCAGATCAAATAAAGGAAAGACGTGTTTTGGATTCAGCAGTGGGGAAGTTTTCCGTGACCTTGGCAAAGGCCCTTTTCATGGGGCTGGGGAGGAGGTGGCCAGACTGCAGTGGCTTGAGGCTCAGGAACCCAACAATACAGCTGACAAGTAGAGACGGCACCGGGGGGAAAACAAGGCCTTGTGAACCGTGTGGATTCCAGCTCTCCGTGCACACTGGGGAAGCCAAGAAAATAGTCTGTTCGGCCTTGCCCAGCCTGTTCTGGTGTGGCAGAGCTTCGGCGAATTGGCCCCCACTCCCCGACCATAATCGCCTCAAGAGGCTCATGGCCTACTCTGCTTCCCTCTCCCGCAGGCCGCATCTTGGACCTGAAGACGGGGACGGTGAAGAAGGAGGGACAGCAGTCGTCAATGCGCATGTGCATGGGCTCGCGCCGCTCCTTCATCTGCAGGATGAGGTTTGTGGGTTGGCGGAGACCAAAGCCGGGGTGGGGGCATTCGCTCGACCCCCGTGCTCTCAGCCTCAGGCGAGGCTGCCTTCTATCCCTCCTCGTAGTTCACTGCTTCCCACCCATCCTCTTTGCGCACCTGTGTGTGCTGCGTTTTTCTTCTCTCTCTTCCTTGTTCTTTTAATTTTCGTTTTTGTTCTTTTATGGATTCCTAGTCAAGGCTAGAATTTGCTCTGCAGACCAGGCTGGCCTCTAACTCTCAAAGACTAGCATCCAACCTTGATCCTCCTGTCTCAGACTCCTGAGGGCTGGGATTACAAGCTTGAGCCACCTTTGCCCAGATGAGTTAAAACTTTTTTTTTCACTTCCTTGACTTTCAATAGAGTGTTTTGTATATAGTTATTGCTTGAATTCATGGAAGACTGGGCCCAGGATTCCTCACCACCAGCAAAATCTGAAAGGGAATAAGAGGCACGGGGGGGGGGGGGGGGGGGGGGGGGGGGGGGGGGGGGGGGGGGGAAGGGGGATTGTTAGATTGTTTAAGTTCTTTGTGAACAAAAAAAAATGTCAAGGAAGCTTTTTGTATCATTAAGGTGATAACAGGGAATGAGATATGCAATATACTTGCAGATATACATGCAGCCAGCCATGGATAAGGTATAAAATAATGAGAGAGGTCAGATATGAAGCTATGCAATGTCTTGCCCTGTTGGAGTAATGAGGTGCCATTACTATGATAGGAAAAATGGCTGGAAACTCCTTTAGGGTGAAGGGAAGTAGTCATCCTTTTCAGACTGAGGTGCCAACCAGCCAGACAACTGATGGGAAAGATGAGGGGCCAATTGGGTGTATAACTCTAGAACCCAGAGGAACAACTGATGGAAAAGATAAGGGGCCAATTGGGTGTATAACTCTAGAACCCAGAGGAACAACTGAAGAAGGGCTCAGGGATCAATGCTGAGGTGGCAGCCGAGCTGAGAGAAAAGTCACCTGAAGGCAATGGAGCAAGGACATCAGAGGACAGCGCATGGGGCCCTGCTCCCCCAGTGCTGGAAAGCTCAGTTGAGCATCCAGGCAGGCAAGAGCGAAGCAGAGAGAGCGAAGGAAGTATCCGAAATGCCACTACTGAGTCCCAAATGCAAGGTCTGAGGCTCCAAGGCTACTCCTCAGAGTGAGAAGCAGAAGCTGGAGCTAAAGGCAAGCAAACAAGGCAGACTCTGTCTCTTCCGCCCAGCCCACCCTGAGATGCGTTACCCCCAGGACTGCCTTCAGATACCTCTCCTGACCAGTGTGGAATTCTGCGTCCATCTTGGTTCAGCACAGCATTGCCTGCACCGTTAGCCTTCTCTCCTCTCCTTTACGCTATGTGATCCCACTGAACTACCCATTCCAGATCAAGCACAGCAGATCCATTGGCTAATGTTACTTTTACGCGGTTGTCTGCTGCCAGAAGTGACTTAACAAGTGTTAAGTGGTACTATAACATTTTAAGGAGATAATGCTTTAAAATGAATATTTATCTTTCCTGATTCAACGTCATTTTTAAGATTAGTGTATGTTTTAACAAAATCTATTCCTTATGTCTGGAAAGATAGCTCTGTTATTTAAAAAAAAAAAAGTCAGGCATGTCAAGCATGGTGGTGTGTGCACTTGTAATCCCAGTGATGGGACAGGTGGCGACAGGCAGACTCCTGGGTCTTGCTGCCTACTGGGCAAATCCTAGGTGAGAGACCGTGTCTCAGAAAAACAAGAGCATGGCATTTAAGGAAGACCAGCTAAGGTTGTCCTCTGGCCTCCATACAGACATTTACATACATGTGAACACGTGTGCTGTATATATGCGCACACACAGAGACACAGAGAGAGAGAGAGGGAGGGAGAGAAAGAGAAAGGGAGGGAGAGATAGAGAGAGAGAAATGTACAAACCTATGTATCACCAAAGTCTCTTGCTCCTTACGCCTAGGTGGGCCTACAGAACCCCCTTTTACAAAACATCACTTTAGGGGGTCCGGTGAAAGATGTGGTTTCTCTGCGTCTGCTGCTCTCCAGGCTGAGTGCTGGGCCTCTTCCAGAAAGCCCTGACAAGGTGCCAGGAAGGTGCTAGAGTAACAATCTGCAAATCGTCTCTCTGCCTTAGGATGGAGTCTCGCCGGCTGCCTGCTTGATGTCGCCAGTGAGCTGGACACTGTGCACAGCATCCAGCCAGAAACAAAATATTCTCAGCTAACGTCACAGCGGGGTCCTCTTATCCTAGCTTGGGGACACTTAGTGAGGCCAGCTGATATGAATTCTTAATTAATCCTGTGGATGAACTGCTCGGAGGCATAGCACAGTGTTTCGATTAGCCATTACACAGTGCCACTGTCCCTACCCAGATTAGCCCGTCTTTCCGAGCCCAGGCATGCCTGCAGAGAATGTACTCAGAGCTGCCCATCAGAGTAGGAACCTGTGCTCCCTGGACTGGCTTGAAAGATGTGCAGCATGACGTCATCAACAAAGCAGCACAGCTTCCTTGGGACACTGGGCCCAGGCTAGCAGAAGGTGCCGAGGGCCCTGTTGGCATCTCTGAGTGGCAATGTCACAGATTGATCCTACTATGGAAATTGCTCTGGGTGCTGGCAGCCCTCCAAGGTCTCACAACATAATTGGACTCTTTCGTTTTTCTTTTCTTTTCTTTTCTTTTTTTTTTTTTGCATGTTGCAAATGAAGACATCCAGGCTGGCGCTTGTCATGTAGTTGGGAAACGGAAATGCACTTAACAAGTGGGCCTGCCAAGTGATGGCCAGACCTTGATACCTGGGGATGCTGAGAGTCACTGAGAAGTGATCAGGGAGGCCCTGCCATTGTGGAGAGGGCTTCATGCCCTGGGTCCCATAGAGGGACCCCCAGGCGGACCTGATTCTTTGCCTATGGATTCCTTGTCTCCACCCTCCCCTTGCCTTTGCAATCAGCAGGCTTCCAACTGTGTGGTTGTTCCTAGAGCCAGCCCCCCTGGTCGGGGAGGGGCATCCACAGTGTGATGCTCAAGCTGCCATCATCACCCTCCTCCTTTCTACAAAGCCACAGGTTCCACTGAAATGATCTGTGGTGCCAAGGATGGCTGGCCTTCTCCTTCAGCGTTTCCGCAACTCTCTAGTGCAGAGATGGACTGTGATATGTTTCTTGTGCATGTGAAACACTGGCCAAATTTCCCTTGTAGGGCAACCAGTGAAAGGCAGGCGAGCCCACGCCTGCCCTTTGGAAGGACATTAGCCATGGGACACAGCGGTTGAGAACCACCTGCTTGATAGCAGGGTTACCCTTCAGTGTGAGGGGCAACAGAAAGTGAAAGTAGGGGAGGAATTTTACAAGGTGCTGGTCCTAGGTAACTTTTGTATCACTTGGTGTTTGCCAGCAGCCAGTGGTGGCAGGCAGGAGCAGCAGCAGGAGGCATCTGTTAGTGTGATGGGTTCTGTACAGTTCTTGGGTAAAAGGATCTTTAGTCCTGCAAGGGTGAAGGCTCATGTGCTGGTCAAAGATATTGAGAGTCCTCAGCTCCTGACTACAGCTGGCATTACAGTCTCCAGGCTGTTGAGGTATCATCTTCTTCAGCTGTGATAACAGCCAGTGTTACAGCTCCCAGGCAGGCGATGCTGAGACTCTTGACCCTAAAAACTTGACTACTATAGAATTCTTCCAACAACAAGGCCTACGGTTTCTCTTTGGCTCTGCAGGCTTCTTGCCGTCTGCTGTCAAGCAGCTGTCCATCCTGCCCCACGCAGTTCAGCCTGCTGGTGGCTTAGCTAGGGCTGGCCCTACTGCGCTCCCGCCTCTGCCTTCACCATTCCTGTGCTCTCTCTGCTGCTTCTGTTTTGTGTGTTACCAGCTCAAGCTCTAATAATAAAAAAGTAATTAAGACAACAACAAAGTTAATTAAGAAAAGATTGCTCCAGAAAATCTTCTCACTGGGCTTGATTGTCATAGCAGGAGAGGCAGCACAGCAGAGTGTTCCCCAGATGGGGGACACAGAGTGAGCCTGTTGAAATAAGAGCGGCGGGGCTGTGTCCCCAACACCCCGGCCGCTTGGCTAGCTCATGCCCGAAATAACAACACACAAACTGTATTCATTTAAACACCGCTTGGCCCGGCTAGTTCCAGCTTCTTATTGGCTAGCTCTTACATATTGTTCTAACCCATTTCTAATAATGTGTGTAAGCACCCCAAGGTGCGCTTACCGGGAAGATTCTAACCTATGTCCATCTTGGGTCGGAGCTTCATCGCGTGTGCCTCAGAGAGCAGAGCTATAGGGAGAGCGGAGCATGGCGTCTCTGCTCCAGAGAGCAGAGCTGTCGGGTCTCTCCGGGAGCAGAGCAGAGTCTGACCTCACTTCCTCTTCCGCCCAGCATCCTATTCTGTTTTCTCCTCCCACCAATGCTTTAACCTATCAGGGCCTGCCAAGCAGTTTCTTTATTGCTCAATGACCTTCCTCCATCATGAGCCGAAGAGGCAGCTTAAAAGGGGGCATTTGCATCAGTCACAGCAATCCATGCATGCAAATGTGGGCTAGTGTTTTCCCCCATTACAGTTCTAGTCTTCTGCTCCCCTCCTGGCTTAGGTAGAAATAGTTGTAGGATTAACGTGAGTTCGCCCAGGAGTCTAAGAGTTTAAAATTCCAGGAAGAAACTATTTCAGATAGCTCTGGTTCAGGCTACACCTTCAAGAGTAGTTTTTACAAGGTGTCTATGAAGAGTTCAGAGGAGCCTGTGCTCACGTAAGGGTTCTCTCACTGGCTGCTTGACTAATATTCCTTTTGCTCAAGATAGTCAGAGATGCAAGAGGAAGTTCAATGGCCTTGCACACCCCCCATGTTTAATTTTCCCCTCCCCCGTACCTCAACATCCTTATTGATAAGGAAGGGAATGTCAGAAAGATTGTTGGCAAATTAAAAGAACTCATCGTATGTGCTGCCAATATGGCTTCGTCAAGTCCTTGCCTTATGAGACCTGGGTTTGACCTCCAGAGTCCACGTGAAAAGAACCGGGTGTGGTGGCACACTTTAGTAATCCTAGCATCAGAGATGCAAAGCCTGGAGGATCCCTGAGGCGCAGCCACCACAAGCCTCACGTGGCAAGCTACAGTGAGCAACATTATCTCCAAAGAAACAGATGGAATAGCATCTGAGGTATCCTCTGGTTTCCACATGTACATGCAGCACATGCACTTGTACAGACATACACACACGTTGCACCTGCACACACTTGAACACACACAATGAGCTTACACTAATAATGATTTTTTTTTTAAAGCACTTAACACTTGCCTAATGCTTCAGGGTGAGGTGCGTTCCCCTTGTCTGTGTTAGAAGCACCATGAGTTTCGTGTATTTACTGCAGCCTGACTGGTCCTAATAATAATGTGTTGACTCTTAGGTGTGGAAATGCTCCCCTGGACCACCTGCCTTTGAACAGAATAACCACCATGCGGAAAAGATTCAGGTGGGCATTCCTTTCTGTGATGCACTCGGGGACTAAGCTAGTAGATGCCATGATGGCCCCACACTGGGGAATAGTTCAGCTTGAAGAGGGGTGGAAAGTGTAGGCCCAGGAGGGCACGTGTCAGGGTGGCAGTGGCTGGGGTGAGAACTGGGAGTTGGGTAGAATTTATGTGTGACTTTCAGGTCAGGATGGTGGGAAACCGAGATTTAAAACCATAAAGGAAATAAGGGAGAAGGTAGCTTAGATACCCAAGGGGTCGCCAGCATCTTGCCTTGTTCCCATATCGTGAAGAGAGCCTCATGTGTGTCCTTCCTCAGGAATGGCCTTGGCCCTGTGAAAGAAGGAGAAGCCCAGTATGCCGTGGTCCACTGCACAGGTTACATCAAGGCGTGGCCGCCAGCAGGTGAGCAGAACTCCTGATAGATTTCTGACAAGGCAGATGCCTTTACCTTCAACTGTTGTACTGGCTTCAGAGTATTCTTGGAGGCCAGGTGGTGATGTGGTACACACCTTTAATCCCAGCACTTGGGAGGCAGAAGCAGGCAGATCTCAGTGAGTTCAAGGTCAGCCTGGTCTACGTTGGGAGTTCCAGGACAGCCAGGAATACTACATAAAGAAACCCTGTCTTGATCAACCTACCCATGGACCCAGCAATACCACTCTTGGGAATATACCCAAGAGAGGCCTTATCATGCAACAAAAATATATGCTCTACTATGTTCATAGCAGCATTGTTTGTAATAGCCAGAACCTGGAAACAACCTAGATGCCCTTCAATTGAAGAATGGATGAAGAAAGTATGGAATATATACATATTAGAGTACTACTCAGCAGTAAAAAACAAGGACTTCTTGAAGTTTGCAGGCAAATGGATGGAAATAGAAAACACTATCCTGAGTGAGGTAAGCCAGACCCAAAAAGAGGAACATGGGATGTACTCACTCATATTTGGTTTCTAGCCATAAATAAAGGACATTGAGCCTATAATTCGGGTTCTTAGAGAAGCTAAATAAGAAGGAGAACCCAAAGAAAAACATATAGGCATCCTCCTGAATATTAACCTTCATCAGGCGATGAAAGGAGACAGAGACCCACATTGGAGCACCGGACTGAAATCTCAAGGTCCAAATCAGGAGCAGAAGGAGAGCGAACATGAGCAAGGAACTCAGGACTGCGAGGGGTGCACCCACACACTGAGACAATGGAGATGCTCTATCGGGAACTCACCAAGGCCAGCTGACCTGGGTCTGAAAAAGCCTGGGTTAAAACCGGTCTCACTGAACATAGCGGACAATGAGGACTACTGAGACCTCAAGAACAATGGCAATGGGTTTTTGATCCTACTGCATGTAGTGGCTTTGTGGGAGCCTAGGATGTTTGGATGCTCACCTTACGAGACCTGGACGGAGGAGGGTTTTCCTTGGACTTCCCACGGGACGGAGAGCCCTGATTGCTCTTTGGGCTGACCAGGGAGGGGGAATGGATTGGGGGGGGGGGAGGGAAAGGGGAGGCGGAGGTGGGGAAGAGACAGAAATATTTAATAAATAAATAAAGAAAGAAAAAAAATAAAGAAAAAAAAAGAAACCCTGTCTCAAAAAACAAGCAAACAAACAAACAAACAAAACCCAAAGAGTATTCTTGGAGAAAAAACAAGAGAGTATCACCATTTTCTTTGTGGTTAGAATGTCATTTTTACTAGAGAAAGCCCCACTATCTGAAATAGGTTTCTAAAAAGTGGAATTGGTGGAGCCTTTGCATCATCAACCTCTGCAAAGGTAGTGTGGAGATCTGAAGTGAGAGTTTCAGCATGTTCCCACAGATGCGCACGTCAAAGTCACAGAGAGATGACAGATCATAATAACCATTGGCCAGGAAGAGGAGAAACGAAACCATCATATCTTGCTGGTGGGAAAGTAAAATAGCATAGCCACTTGGAAAAAACAGTCTCAAAATGTTAAGCATGCAGTTACTATATGACTTCACAATTTGACTCCTAAATATCAACCCAAGAGAATTGAAGACCTAGGTCTACAAAGGAATTTGAACACAAATTTTTATTCATTATGGACAAAGTGCTAAAACAGCCTGAATATACACAAAGTGGTAGATAGATGAACAAAATTTCATGTATCCGTACAGGGAATACTAAATCACCAGAGTATTGCTGTGTGGCATAGAAATCCAACAAAGAAAAGGACACAAAGACTGTGGCCATAATACAGTTAGAGAACATAGATCAATAACCTGCCTAGTGTTTGGAATAAATGAAAACAGCACGTTGGCCATTGGCAAGCAAATGAAAACAAAGAACTGTAGGATAAAAGGGGTTTGAACTTGATGTTGTAGCACTGGTTCTAGCTGGATTATGCTCACTCTGAACTGGATTTTTGTCTTGGAGGGGATTGTACAAGGCACCTTTCTGGCCAGTGCAGGCATCTACAGGGACCCTTCCTTCACTGACTGACGCTGCCTGCTTCACAGGGAGAGTGAGGCTTTGCTGCCTGTTGCCCAACAGATTGTACCGCTGATCTGCCATGTTGATTTTCAGCCGTGCCATGGGTTGTCTGGAAGTAAGATAATTTCTCCGTACTGTTTAAGGGTTTTCAAAGGATGAGGTTTTTTAAATGTCTGTGAATATCATCAGCACCTTTCCAGAATTCCAAAATGCACGCATAATTGTAAGAATAATAACTGTTTTCTGAGTGTTCCCCACGCCAGACATAATTAGAACGATCGCAAGAGTAATATGGTATTGGCAGAGTCTGTGCACCTGCAATTCAAAACTGTACAATCTAAACACTCCACACTGACGTTTATGTATGTATACACATGTATTCACACACACACACGTGTGTGTATGCATGTATATATTTATATGTATACATGCACAACCTGTCAGTTAAAAAGATTTTTTCCTTAAAGCATTTTCTTGGGCTTTATTGGATTGCTATCACAAAATATTACAGACTGGATAATTTGCAATGAAAAGAAATTTCTTACAGTTATAAGTGGAGACTTCAGGGCTAAGGGGTTGCATTGGGCAAGGGCCTTCTGGCTGTGTGTCAGATTATGACAGAGGGTGTCATCCGGGGAGAAACTGACACCTGGAACCTATGAGCTTAGGTCTCTCTCCTTTTGTTTTATTTTTTGAGACATGGTCTTCTTACTATATATCCTGGCTGGCTTGGAACTCCTGATGTAAACCCGGCTGATCTTAAACTCCCAGAGATCCACCTGCTTCTGCCTCACAAGTACTGGGATTAGAGTGTGCCAACACACACAGCTTCTCCTTCTTAAGGAGCCACTAACATCATCATGAGGTTACTATAGGATCTGAATCAACTCTCATCCCCTCCAAGAGGCCCCATCTCCAAACACCATCAACATATGAATTTGGGGTTTCAAGTTTCTAACTCATAAAATTTTGGTAACATTTTTTCCTAACGTGTATGGCGGTTTTGTGTGTGTGTGTCTGTGCACCATGTACAGGCTGTGCTAGATTCCCCAAGGACTGGAGTTACAGATGGTGTGAGCCACCATGTTGGGAGTCCAGTGCAGGTCCTCTAGATGGACAGCCAAAGCTCTTCATTGCTGTACCATCTTTCCTGTCCCCTAAAAGATATCTTTAAAACATGGGAAATGCAACTTATTAAACTGTCAGTATGCTGCTTGCCAAAGGCCTGAACCAGACCCAAGAACAGGGATTGAGAAGGCCTCCAGCCCTCAGTTTAGAAGACCTGCTCCCTCAGTTCTGATAGTGCTACAGAACCAGCTAGACCCTGGAAATACAGAGTTCCCATCAGCGGAAGAATTAGCAAGAAGCAGTGCAGTAATAGTATGAGGCCTTTCGTAAATGGCATGGCTAATCCCATCTGCTGCTATTCCTAGGAGCATCAGTTAGTGCTTGAGAAGGTAGGTTTGTAGTAGGAGATTGTTCCAGGAGGTGGAAATAAAAGCAAATGATTGTGGTGCTGAGAGGGAGCCAGGCAGCCGTGTCTCCATTATCCAGTAAGTATGGTAACCTGTGTGTGGCCATTGTTTTGCCAGTCTCTCAGGGCCACACCCCAGGCCCATTCTTCTAGGAGTCCTCAGATAAATGGAGAGACCGTGTGTCCCGAAGTGATAGGAAAGTGTTTTATAAGACAGTCATCCTTAGCCGGGCGATGGTGGCGCACGCCTTTAATCCCAGCACTCAGGAGGCAGAGGCAGGCGGATCTCTGTGAATTCGAGACCAGCCTGGTCTACAGAGCTAGTTCCAGGACAGGCTCCAAAGCCACAGAGAAACCCTGTCTCGAAAAACAAAACAACAACAACAACAAAAAACAGTCATCCTTGGGGATAGACAAGTCCCTAAGCCAACTGAGGTTAGAAGAGTTGCCCTGAAGAATGCCCATACCCAGGCTTCATCAGTAGTTCAAAATCTTCTTGGGATCCATGCCAATGAATGCCTCGAATCCTACTTAATCTTTCTCTGCTTTAAGTTAGTTCATCATGCTTACTATACCAGGCAAATTCCTCTTCTGGTTCTGTGCTCAATGCTCTGCTTTTCTGCCCCTTTTGGGGGGTTCCACACCCATGGTTTCACATGACTAATGCCATTGGCATGGTAAAACTCTCTCAGCCTCTGTGAGAAAAGAGGCTGTGGCATCCAGAGGATGAGCTCCCCTGGAGCTGCAAGGGTCTCAGAACTGTTGCTGTTTGCTTGTGCGGGGGCAGGAGGACTTATTCTTCATCTTAAATACTGGTCCTTGAAACTGCCACTTAAGGAATGGCTGAAGGAGCCAGGGTGTTCCACTTAGAGAAAATGAGACATGATTGCTGTCTTCAAGTATTTGAGGGGGTGTCATATTGAAGGAGGAATTAGTCTCAGGGTAGTTCCAGGAGGCACAACTAGGAGCAAAAGAGGAAAGTTACAGAAGCGAGAAGCGAGCCAAGGGCATGAACGGGCATTAAAAATGCAAGATAGACACATTAAGCTATGGAAAAAAAAAAAAAAACAGTTTTCATGGTTAACCAGAGCTGCACTTTAAAACAATTGGATACCGTTTTCTCATAACCTCCTAATGGACCAAAGAGGGAAACGGCAAATGACGCCCAGTGTTGGGAAAGAAAAGATGCTTTCTACGGCGCCGGTAGGAATGCAAATTAGTGCAGTGCTTGAGCAGAAGAACGGGGCACTATGCCAAACATTTGACAGTGTGCGATTTATGATTCGGCACTCAGATTCATGGGAATTTACTCTAAAAATTGACTAGAAATGTCTGTAGATTGTGTGCTTTAGCACAATTTAGCAATCGTGAAAGCGCCCAGTGAATCTGAATGTCACTGGCAGAGAATTGGCTAAAAATCTGTGGCTAAAAATCACAGTAGCATGGTTCACAGACACCAGTGAGAACATGAGAT